TCTCATTCTCTCATTCTCATTCTCTCATTCTCATTCTCATTCTCATTCTCATTCTCTCATTCTCATTCTCATTCTCATTCTCATTCTCATTCTCATTCTCATTCTCATTCTCATTCTCATTCTCATTCTCATTCTCATTCTCATTCTCATTCTCATTCTCATTCTCATTCTCATTCTCATTCTCATTCTCATTCTCATTCTCATTCTCATTCTCATTCTCATTCTCATTCTCATTCTCATTCTCATTCTCATTCTCATTCTCATTCTCATTCTCATTCTCATTCTCATTCTCATTCTCATTCTCATTCTCATTCTCATTCTCATTCTCATTCTCATTCTCATTCTCAATTAGATTCATTGCACAAACATGGCCCAGACAAATAACTAGTATCGAGGATATTCGTCAACTTAAGTGTACCAGAAGCAGCCAAGGGCAACGACTTCGCCTAGCGAAGGGTTTGGGAACATTAGCCCTTAGTTTAAGAGGCACAAAAACCACGGAATATTGTAAGTGGCACTTAGCTACCGCGGGGGCAGCGACATAAAGCTAAGTGTCTGCTAGTAATTAGTATAAACCATTTGTAACTGCTTAAAATTCGTATAAATTATAAGATTTCTGTATGAATTGAAATTTCGAATTAACTGTCTTATGGTTATAATAACTTACAAGCTGCTATACCCGTGCTTTGCAACGGGAAGAAAATGTGATCTAGAGAGCTATTAAAGTAGTGCTGGTGTGTGTTTTAAAATACAGCAACTCTATGATTTAGTTTGAAAACATAAACTTATTTAGAAGCGTAAACCTACTTACTTTCAAACCCCTACTTTTGATGTTAATAGATCCATAAGAATATGACAACATACCTTAGTGTAGCAATAGCATCAATTGCTTCATATTGATGCTTCATGAATTACATGTTTTACCATAATTCTTCAATTTAATTCAAGCCTCTTCACATGTAGCTTACTATATAAATTAAAACATGAAACTTTGAGCAATACTTTACAAAACTTATATACAACCTCACTTTTAAACCAAACATAACCCTCCTCAATCTACATAAAGCGTCACAAACATCTTATTCGAGTAAATAAACACACGCCAGTTCATTGTACTGACCAGCTGTTTCATTAACTAAATTAAATTAAATCATTTAAACATTGGAAGCATGCCAGGCATAGCCCTTTGGAAATCAGCCTGTGGGGCAGAGCCCTTAGGAAATTTGTCCATATCAATACTTTTCGGCAAATCTACACACTCTAAGCTTCATTTTGATGTGCCATATGCCTATATTTTTATTTGGTAAATGACCTTAACCGTTTACATAAAATTTGATTGTATCACTTTAATAATATAATAGATATTGGAGATATTAGCAATAATAATGAAATGTATAATTAAATTTAACTGCTCAAAATGGCTAATATATGATAAATTGTTTAATTCATAATCGCTTTCGAAAACTAGGTTTCCATCGTCAGGCTGTGTATAAAACTGGTACACAAAGCACATATTTACTTAAAAATAAATCAAGTTAAAAGATTATGTAAAAAGAATATTGGAAAATGTTGACAATGCTTTTCTGGAAGTAATTATTTTAAGTAATTACTAGTAAATAATAATTATTATTATGGCCCGTCTTCATAATTTAACAAATGATTTTGATCTGTTTTTTTTTTTTATAAAATAAGATTCCCGCGCATTAAGATGTTGAGGTTTTATACAAGTTGTAATTTGTTTTTAAAAGTTGAAGGTTTCCCAAATTGAAAATATGTCCTTTATTAATAAATTCTAGCCACAATATTAATGCTGGACTATTATCCTGTATATAAAGAAATTATTAACCATTATTAACCAACCATAATTAAATAATATTCTAGATCAAAGTTGAAAAATTCTAAAATTATATGGGTTGTTAATACTTGAATTGATCGACGTTGTAATACAAAATTTTTGTTATGATTGATAAAAAAATTACAAAACTGTAAATAATAGCATAAACAATTTTTTTCCATATAAAGTGTTTTTTATGACGTTAACATATATTAAATCAAGTAAGGCATTTAAAATACATTGATAAGATCAAATTATTATACATGTTGGATATATGGAAATATAAAAAATAGAAAATGTGGATAGTGGAAATATGCCATCCTTGATTGATAGTGCATATTTATTGAAACAAACACTGTTTTACTAATGAATACAAACCTGCAGACTAAGCGAATTTCCATTTGCCTGATTTGATTTTCAATTTAATCTATTTAAATAACATTTTTTTAATGAGTACCTTATTGCTGTTTGTTTTTATAAATATGTATTAAAAAATCAAGGATTGCGTAAAATCAATATAATAATATATATAGTTTTTTTTTCTTTTACAGCTTATACAACCTGTAGTTTATTCATCAAGTACTAGAAACTCACCTAAACACATTTTTTGCAAGCATCTATTGGGATAAAATGGATGATTCACTTTTGATATAACGGTATGCTTCTAAAATACACACTTAGAGCTTGTGAAAACACAAAGTCTCATAAGACTCGACTTATTAAACGATATAGAGATTTATAGACCCACTTATAGGAATCTATACTGTGAATACACAATACATTTCCCATAACATTAAACCGTGTGGTCAACAATGCGAAAACGCATAAGCTTATTGACAATAAAGTAAAGGAAGCAGGGCTGCCATCATACGAACTCGTTTTATCCCCGAACAGTGTCTCTTGGTACTTTTAATTTGCATGGTGTAAAAAAACACCCTGCATAATTCTTAATCCAGCATTAAATATACAATACGGCTACCAACACGATAATATTGTTCAATTGAACAACTTACAATAATTGACATTCGAAACCCACTCACTCGTGTATTAATTAAATCAGTCCATTTTGATTGATGTTTAATGACCAGTTTTTGAGTGAGTACACTGATATTTACCAAATAACTTCCTTTTAATTTATGGTAAATGTTACATCTGGCTTTTTACAATTATGTTACAATACCAGAATAATTATGTAATGTGAACTGTTCGTGAATATTTTCATCCCGAATATGAGTACCAGCTACATTTTACTATTGTTTTATGTAAAGAATGAGTAGAAAGTACAGTATGAGGGAATAATAAACACTCAATTCGATACGTCAATACCAAGGATGTATTGAAGTATCGTTTTTAATGTTAGGAATTACATGGAGAGTACAGTATCAGTGTTAAAACTGTTATATATACCTGATTTTTTTTAAATAAATATTGATTCTTTTAAATTATAGTTATGCTTATCACAGATATTTTCTCTACTAGAGGTTTAAGCATGGGAAAAATATATGAATCAATATTATGAATTTTGTAACGAAAATTGAAAGCATAACTGTAAAGTTGGGTGGTTCTCTCTTTACTGTTGTTGTTGTTGTTACTACTTACATGTTAACAACTTTTTTAAGTGTGTAAAGTATTTGTTTCATGCAGATTATTTTTTTGGGTTAGCTATTTTTACATTTTTTATTGAGCCTCACATTTTATTGTGTTGAAACAACATTGTATTATGAAGCTGGTTATTGCATTTGTGAAAGTGATTGCCGATAATTAAGATTCTGACTCCAATTCAAAGTTCCTAAATATTTATAATTAGATTCAAAATATAAGTATCCCTTTAATTATGAAAACGTGTATATTTTATACAAGAAAAAGGTTAAACAATATAATAATTATTCAAAGATGTGATTTGTTAAGGAATTTGGGAATTAACGATTAATAAAATACGAATAAACTTGTCTGAGTTTTTTTCCAAAATATTGTAATGAAACCGTAGTTTCAATAAATTGTTGTTTTGGCCAATGAAATTTTATTCACCAGATGGAAAATGAATACATATTTTTTTTGTTTGTATTCGTTTGATATTATTACCTCAAAAAGGTTATGATTTTTTGTAGGCATACGAGGGGACATGTAATACAATTCCAAGACAACGTACATTGTGGCTAGTCTAAAAAGCTATGAGATAAGAAATGCAATTTTAAAATTCGTATATTGACTGGTGAAAATAGCAAATATTTTAACTTTCACAAGATTGGATAACACATGATAACAATTGTTCAACATAAAACAATGGATTTCATCATATATTTTTCTGTAAAAACTTTGTATTGAGTTTTGCATGTTATTTTGCCATTGAAATCACTTGTTACTTCATATGTACTGTATAATTGTTTTTATAATTGTTTTCGTCCTTTAAAATACTTTGTTGTCATTATGTGGATTTGTGATATAATTGGTATTGACATCTTGTTGTTTATAATAATTCTTCTTGTCATGTTGTTAGTGATCTGTGCTAATTTCTGACATTGTTATGTGCAATTCATATTTAATTATTTATACTCTGCTCTCGTGTCTACCAAATATGTAATGCTTGTAAATGGTGTATCTGTTAATATGAATAAATTAACAAATTAATATATGCATCTCAGACAACAGCTTGCTGTACTATTATTTATTAAATTTTCTAGAGCATAAATTCCATTATTTTTTGTTAATGTTTAATGGTCAGTTACATAAAAAAGGATGTTTAATTTAAAAAAAACCCCAGTCAAACACATCACTATTTCCTTTAGAATACTTTTAAGTTTAGTGGTGGTAGTTATGTCTCAACCTGACGTCTCTACAACTCTTTAGACGTGTGAACGAATAATCCACTTATTCTTTCTAACAGGTTCAACTAGAGATAGTAATAAATCTCATGTATCCGCATCTCACTAACAAAACCCCATAAACAATCCACCTACGTACAAAAAAATCGCAAAAGGATACACCACAAATATTCAAAACACTCTCACTGCCCCAACTTTTATTTTTACCTCTCAATCAAAAATGTTAAAAGCCCGCGGCCGCAGGGGTCAAGGTCCAGCTTAATTGCAGCCGAAATCCCGAGACTGGGCGCGAGGCGCCAGGCTAATGCGGCTAAAAGCCCCACATAAATACTCGGAGTTACAACAAATCTTAAGAGCATCTGAAAAAACCGGAGGTGTGGTCGACCAATGGGAGCAGACCCGGTGGCTCCGCCCCTCGTCGTGCGCAGCCCCCGGACCTTCCTCAGTCAACGAGGGACCTCCGCGAGTGTCGTGTGTGTAGTGTCGATCTGTGGCTGTGATTGCAGGAGATTTTGAAAAGGTGAGTAGTATGGCGATAGGTCGAAAGATTGTTGGTTCATAATGATTACAGTTGATCTTGGGTTATGAGTAAGAAGGATATTGCATTGTAAGAAACGGCAACCAATACCCTACCCATTTTATGACGGGTATATATACTATATGTACTAAAGTAAGATTTTAGTTCATAATGTTGTGAATAATGTACTATCTTAATTGTTCAATAGTTTGCCGGGGGTACATGGCAATATTAATAAAATACTTAATGTGCAAATGTACAATAAATTATTTAAAACTTTAGCAAGCAGCGATAAGAGACAATGTAGCCTACAACAAAGGTGTGTCAAAAGTCAAACATATGGATACAGAACATGAATAAATAAGAAAGAATTGTATAAATAGGTACAATTTAAAACGAGTGAATCTATGATAACAATTTAAATCAAAAAGCCAAAGCAACAATACATTAACAAGGTCGAATATTGACTGCAATGAAAAAATGTACTAGAATGAAGAACAATAAAAAGACAATAGGTAGAGTAATAGAAACATACATACAATAAGTCTGTGTGTATGAGATATGCTTATTATAACTTGACAAAATAAATTGTTTACGATACTATACCGTGTAGAATCTGTAGTGGTCTTTCATTCGGAGATAGTTTAACCAAATGACAGTGTTGTGTAACTAAAAATGTTACCCTTATTTGCGGAAGAGTCCTCCCCTTTTATCAGTATGTGGGTGTATGCTCATAAAGGTCTCTAGTTTTAACAGCGCCGATACTTATATAATTTTATTAAATTTGGTTTGAGCCTACTCTTATTGAATAGTACACTAATAATACAAACGGTAAAATACGGGACTGAAAAGTATTGTTCTTTTTTATTTAGCAAATTTTAAGCTGTTCAATAAAATAATAAAAAATTTATTAATGAGTAAACTTTAGCTTAGTCTAAAAAACACAATTATTGTTTTATTGAATTGGAAGCAATTTTTTTAAAATAAGATAAATAATCCTTGGAAAATTGTAGTGTTTACTTTAATACATCTAACTTGCTGTATAGCCTAAATACCTGGGATTTACATTACGTATCTATTATGTACTTTTATTGTGAAGTGACTCGTAATGTTTCAAATGTTCCATATCAAATGAACGATAATATATATAGTTTTAAGATACAAGAGTTAAATTAATTACTGTGTATAGATAAATTAATTGCCCCTTAATTATCTGATAACAAAGATTGAAGAAAATTGAATTAACATTTCCGTGAATAAATACCCTTCTATTATGTGAATGTTTATAAGAATAATCATCATTACAATCAAGTAAAGATGTCACAATTTAATAATTACAAACAAACCATAACATGCAAAAAATTATAATATGTTTTTAAATGTGCTGGATTCGATACAAATTAAACAATCAATCAATAAGGTATTTAAAACAAAAAATTACGCTGACCGATTTTATAATAAATATAACAAGGTTCAGTAAATTACAAATTGTGTACGAAATTAAAATGTTCTTTTATCGAACGTTACTTTAATGTGTAACTACTTATTGTAGGTCGTGGATAAAAGGAGTGAACTGCAATTTTAAATTTTTAAAGATACGCTAAACATTCTCCGTTTGTAAATCCTACATAACAAAAGATTTGAGTAAACACAACAATCTATTTTAATAGAGATTGCTTTATCATAAAAATATTAAGTTAAAAGTTATACAGCATTATCGAATAAGCTATACGTTTTTATTAGAAAAACTAGTGCGGACAAACAGATATTTAATTAGTTAAGTAAGGTAAAATAATTAAAACTGTGTTTTGCATTTTTAATTAGTCAGCTAAAAATAGTATAGAGCAATAGTGTACACATGGCTATATAACTGTCTTTAACACGAACGTAATTATTTGTCTCGCTGTATTAAATCTATTTATATTTAAAAATACGGTCTCAGGACAGTAAAATGTTATGAACGTTGAAAATAACCTCGCACAAAAAAGAAGGTTTATTTCACACACATTGCACGACATTTCTTACATAAAATGTATAGAACTGATACATCATATGATAAAGGGATGGATAATTGTTTAGTTTCTTTAAGAGTAAGATATTAAATACCATCGATGATGACTCGATTTGCTTAACTATAGTAAGAAAAGAGTATAAAGTTGTTATTAATATGATGTAAGAATTATTTACATTGCGAATCGAATATATAAGCAAATCAAACTAGCTAAAAGAAAATATATTTATTTATTTTAACAATGTTCTCTCGGAAGATCCCCCCCTTACAAGCAAATAATGAATAATAAATGAATAAATTAATGCAGAAGATTTAATAAGGCAATTTTTATTTTATTTTGTACTAAGTATAGCAAAATAATCGGTGCAGTAATTTCCCCACGATCACATATGATTTTCAAGTGTATTCATTGGTTCTCGCTTTGTATCGTCCTAAGATATTGAGCAACATCTTTGTATTACGTATACACTTTTAGATAGTTAAAAGTAAAAAAAAGAAAACGTTACAATTAAGTCGTTTTATCCTTAAATACAAACTATCGGACGAATAGGTTCAATAAGTTTAAACCTAAACTGACCATATCAGATTTATGTTCCATAATATTTTCTACGATGATACTAGGCAGCATTTTAAGTATTTTCGAACCGCTTAACACCAATCTTTTACCGGAGATATTCTGATGAATATCATATTGCTTAAAAATAAAGAACTATAATAACCCTTCAATTTTGATAACAGATCTGGCGATAATATCAGTTAAGACATCAAGTTATATTTTGAAAACCCATAAAGTACAAGGCTTACTTTGTCATAGTAAATAAAAAATTAATGAGCTAGTTTTAAACTCATCTTATATGCTCTTTAGCAAATGAATTACTTGTAAATTGTAAAACCCATAAGTATAGACACTGTATTATAAGTTGGAAGCCTAAAAAAATTTAAAAAAGGATTTTTTTCAATTAGGCCTACCTTCACTACGTCTAGAAACCGTATCTATAGGCCTACTCTGCCTATAAATGACAAAAGAGATTTTTACATTGTTAATGTAAGAACTATTATTTCTCAAATATCCCTTAAGTAAGGGTCCAGCATAGCCTAAAACGTAATTGAGTATGAAAATTATTTTTTTTTTTCAAAAACCAAAACTGTTAATGAAAATTAAATGGATTTTTTTATGTAAAATTTCATGAATTTTTTTCAAAGTGTGACAGTTAAAATGTATTTCGTACTTATTATGCATATACATATTTATTAATACAATTTTTATTGAGTTTTATATTTAAGTTTAACTCACGTAAAAAGTATACCATGAATATTTGTAGCGCAGAAATGAATAATTATCCAACAGTTGAATAAACATGAGGCCAAATATTTACATTTGGAATTACTCTTGCGTGATAGCAGTCTTTCTAGCATATCAAAGAACTGGAAACGTTTCATATAACATTATAAAATATATTTCGTTGTACCACACACACCAAATTTTTGTAAGGGAGTTTATTTATTTATTTGGAACTTGATAACCACTTAAATAAGAGGGATTTTTCGTGAACAATTCTATTATTATCAGATGGTTTTCACTCTGAAAAGTTGTGGCTGTTTTATTTCATTAAATTAAATTAAAATTTTCAAGGAAACAAAACTTATGTGCAAATTCAATCAGTTAAAAGATTTGAGAATAATAAACATTTGGGTTGTATTTACAAATACTTCACCAAGGTTTTAGTACTGAACATTTAGGCATTTGGCTCATCTCTTAACTTCCTACACGTGGTTTAAATACCTGTATAATTGGTAATCCAAGTGGTTGCCTTAGTCTTAATTTAGAATTTAAACCATTGTAAATAATTTTATTATGCTTTTTAAACCTCAGCTACGGTAAGGGTTTTTAGGACGAATTAGTAAAATACTCAAACCACCACAAACGTAATATAACTTATATTTTCTTAACATAATTTAGAAAACCTTGTGTGCAATGTGTAAAATAATAATAAAATATCTACAAAGAGCTGAATACATTAAGCATATAATGCTATACAGTATATTCCTATACCACTAATTTGTTACATTTGGAACTCTCAATTAACATTGGCAGGTAAAATTAATGTATTGTAAAAGGGGGATGTTACCGAATGGAAAGATAATGGGATGTAAATTAAAGAAAATAACTTCTTGATCAGCATTAAACGTCTTATTAAATTTACGGAAAGCAAATAAAAGAAACGTCTTATAACACTTAAAACACGTTATAAAACGTTGTATGTTTTAAGTGTTATAAGACGTTTCTTTTATTTACATTCCGTAAATTAAAGAAATAGTTATTACGAAAACTTTTTTGGCACGAAAAAATTGCGAGTGAACACATACATTTAAGCGTCCTAACTAAGTAAAAATATTGTTATTTTTTTTAAATGAAAATCAAACTGTAATTTAATTTCCATCTAGAGTCATTACTTTGTTTTTATATTACAAGTCAACAAAATAATATGGCAATATTACCATAAAATTATTGTTGTATTCAAAAGTATATAGATCGATTAAAGACTATACAATTTTAACTTAGTAAAGTTAATATTTAAATTTGAAATACAAATTTATATTTTCACGGACGAAGGACCCAGCTAAATTCAATGCTAAGTAAGGCCTTTTAACTTGTATCTTTTGAGGACCAACATTTGAAGTTTTGATTTGAGAAAATTTTACGTTTGTAATGATTTGTATTTTCGGCGTTTACAATAAACGCATTTATTTATTCCACGGCAAAGCCGAATATTAAACCGTTCATATTTTTTTTTTAACCGTTCATGTTTTTTTTTTTTTAATAGCTTGTCAGTTTAAGCTCAGGCTTGTGGCATTGTATTTCCCTAATTAAGACATTTAATTTGATGTAAATATCAACCTATGCTTACATTTAAGATTTTCTTCTAACTCTCAGCGGGCCAATATACAGGGTGAGTTTTAATTGTCCCCCCCCCCAACTTTTTTCTACATT